CGCTAAAGTTTCGTTGGAACGAATTTACGGAAAATTAATTAACGAACGGAGACGTAACAATATCAATGCCTATTATTTTACTCTGGAGTTTTTAATAGCGCCACCTGATAGGAAAGATAACTTAGTTGGGTAATAAAATGATCTACGAATTCGTCAAACTTTTAATTTTCAGGAATAACTACACCATGTTTACAGATTTCGAAAATTTGTTTTCGATTATATCCTGGTAAATTTAGATCTGTGCTATAAATATAATTTACAGAACATGTTTACGTTACAAAAAGTAGTATAACTATTTTGGTAAGATAAATAAACCTGATATCTCACAGTTGTTTTTAGATTGTGTTCATACGCTTAGCAAATCTGTCCATTAGCTTGTTTTATAATTATGTCCGATGGATTATTTTTTTTTCTCCGTCGTTCGTTTCGTTTTAATAAGTCAATCACTCTAATGTTTACCATAATTAACCCCGACGTTTGTTTTCTTGTACACGTTGTAATTACTCTAATCGTTCGTTTATAATTTTATTTCGCAATTAAATCCAATGTTTATTTTATTTTATTGTTCTTTTCTCGAGTGGGAGGCGTTGATTCTGATGTTCTTATAAGTTATTCACGATACACGTCATCTTTACAATGACACAGCCAAGTAAAGATTTCTTGTGAAGCTATACGTGTTACACGTTACCTTTCTGATTAAACGATCAAGTGATAATATTTTAGCGACGAAGAAATCACATTATACATTGAACCAAAATCATTATACTACAGTAACCATGACGACAGGAAGCCATTATCATGAATGCAACTGTAGAGCCCACGCGAAGATGTCAGCGTCTGATATTTCCATTATTCACAAAGAACGGATATAAACAGAAATTACAAACGTTTCTCTTCAACAAGTGTTTAGGTATTTAGATCTATTGTTTTGTACAGATATCATACGTCAAAGGCCCTCTCACGTGGCTTTATTAACACTAGATAACACTAGATAAGTGACTCTTGAACAAGCGGTAATTTAATACAATCAGTCAGATGCGAAACACCTCATTATTTATTATTTTAGTTAATTATTTTGCACGAACAAATACTAAATTATAACGCTTTTAAATGTGGCATATTTCTACGGAAGCTAATATTTTGCGTGAACTTTTGTCTATACTGTACAAACTGTACGTACTTTAGTTCACGTGTTGCAGTCTGTCAAGTGTTCTAGTCATCAGCTTCACATATTTTCATTCGAGTAAATTTCACATAATCCTAAGATCCTATAAGTGAAAACAAAAGAGAATATGCTATAATATGTCAATCACACTACCTCTGCCATATCCAGTGCCGACGAGGCCTTTCGCACAATACCAGAGCTCATCAAGCCGGCGGGGATACAACAGATATAGTAATGTTTTAGGCGTTATATATATATATATATATATATATAGATAATAAACTGACACGAATAATAACTCTTAAGATATGGATCAGATTAAGCGCGTGAATTGTAATTATTATCAACTTTATTTTAAGTCATTTAATTTATTCAATTATTATTATTTTTTTATAGTTATTCTAATTGAATTAATTTTACAATTATTCACGTTTAAGTTGTGTATTTGGCAAGATGCACAATAATGTCTAAGAGACAATTAAAAGTTTTGTGAAAATTTGATATCACTAAATAATTTTCCAAATTTGATATTCCACTTATGTGCACGTTATCAGTATTAGCAGTACTTCAAATTGAATGTTTTAATCGCATGACACGATACGTTTGTTAGTATACATGAGTAGTTTTCTTGAATTAGTTTTGATATGTACGTTTCAAACCGCCTAACTTACGGCAGAAAATATCGTTACCTGCTTGTTTAACAAACTTTATTACTAAGAACGTACCGGTAAGAACATCATATTTAATTAGCCATACTGATAATTAGGTTGATTTTAGTCCTGATCTACAAAGTTAGCTTGCTTTTATCAAAAGTCAATATTAATAATATTGAAGTTGGAAAAACATTCCTATAAGTGACATTTCTTAATTAATTCTCTTTTGGTGTTTATAATAAGAGTTCCAGCTGTGGCTTTACATTTTGGTCTTATTCCACTATATCGTGTTTTGAAAGTCGATTCAGGAGTTGAATTTTATGATACAATTTAAATTAAAGAATAGAATGTTTCACGCAATGATTTGTGAATCACGTGGTACATACGGCAGCCTATTAAGATGGAGTCAGTGTTCACGTTGCTAGTCTTAAACTAAACAAATACATTCTCACATCACAACACAGTTTTTTCCTCTATCGCGGAAGTCATCTTTTAGGTCAATCTTGGACTTATATTTGGACTTCACTAAAGTTGTCTGACGTGGAACAGTCACGTGGTTTTTATTCAGTTTACCTAGGGCTGCGAGTGCCGCCACCTCAAAAGCATCTCTCACGCTACACCCACTTACGCTGGACGATGTTTCAACGTAAGTTGTGGCTCCAATCCGCCTGGAAGCAGCTAAAGCCTAGAGAGAGAGGTTCATAGGTTAGCAACTTATACTACAAACAAACTGATTACACTGTGTAAAAGAATGTATCAAGAAAGTCGATATGCCCAATACATCTTCCTTTGAAAAAGTAAAGATTTGACGTTATGCTTCGAAATTACTAGATTAATTTCCGATATACGAACAAACCAAATTATTAATACATCAACCTAAAAAATTCCTTTGTGAAAATTATATAGCCATAACTGCACATACACAATTTCATTTTTAATCATTTTTCTCTGTTATAAACTGTATTTTATAAATTATTCATTTCAAGGACAGGGGGTTTCTTTGCCACTACAATGCAATATGGTACGAATTTCAAATAAAAACCGGTGTTTATTCTTTTAGTTACTTGGCGTTATCACGTAGTTTGGAAGCCCGTTACACCAGCATGGAAAATTAAGTAAAGCTAGTCACTTAGTAAACTTAATTTTTAGCAACACGTAGATGTATATCAAATCTGCAAAGCTATATTTCACATAAAGTTCTAATTGTTTATTAAGATTAGACTTGTCATGGGGTAGATTACACACACACACACACATATATATATTGTTCAATGAATATTTAGGGGAAAAACTTACTGGTTGATTGTAAACTCACCACGCGGCGCTCGACTCACAATCTGAGGGTCGTGGGTTCGAATCTCCGTCACTCCAAACATGCTCGCCCTTTCAGCCGTGGGGGCGTTATAATGTGACGTTCAATCCCACTATTCGTTGGTAAAAGAGTAGCCCAAGAGTTGGCGGTGTGTGGTGA